TATATATATATATATATATATATATATATATATGGAAAAAGCTAACAATAACCCGGCAGCTATAATGAATAGTAATATAAGTGGAATCCCAACCGTCAGATCTTCATCATGTGGTTAAGAATGCATATCACTATATGAATTTTAATATTTTTTCTAGATATTAGATTATAATGAAATTTTAGATGTGTGTACTAAAAAATAGTGTGCACAATTAAGAAATATATATATAATATTTTCCAAAATATAAAATGACCGAAATACCCTTGAAAAATGATAGGGGTAATTTGGTCATTTTAAATTATTGAAAATAATTTTTTAAAAATATTTTTATATGGTGCACAATAGTGTTAGGTATATACACCCAAAATTTCATCTTAATGAAATTTATGGAAAAACAATTAAAATAAAAATAGTGATATGTATTTTGAACCACTCGAATAACTGATGGTTGAGATTCCACCTATATTACTATTCATTATAGCTGCCAAGCTATTGTAAGGTTTACTATATATGTATATATGTATATATGTGTGTGTGTGTGTGTCTGTATAGACCTATAAATACGTAGACCTATTTGAGTGAGTTTTTAGTGACAATAGGTCTACATCAAGGGTCATCATTGGGCCCATACCTCTATGTCTTTGTTTTAGTTATGGATGACTTAACCAGGCACCTACAAGATGAGGTACCGTGGTGCATGTTGTTCGTAGATGACATAATTTTGATTGATTAGACCCAAAACGACGTCATCAAAAATTAGAACTTTAGAGGGATGTTCTAGAATCCAAAGGTTTTAAAATTAGTCGGACTCAGACAGAGTATTAGAGTACAAATTTAGTAATAATAGGAGTAGAGACGAGGAAGTAATTGAGATTGATGGCCAAGAAGTACAAAAAGGACCGCACTTTCGATATCTTGGGTCGATAATCGAGGAAAATGGAGAGGTCGAGGAAGATGTCGCACACAAAATTAGAGCTAGGTGGGAGAAGTGGAGATGTGCAACTGGAATTTTATGTGATCGCCGTATACCATTGAGACTGAAGGGCAAGTTCTATAGGATAGCAATATGACTAGCTTTGCTCTATGGGGTGGAATGTTGGGCAGACAAAAAAAAATTACCTATAGAATGAGTGCAGC